CTCCCCCGCTCTCCCTCCGCCCGCGGCCCCGGCCCTGCGCAGCAGGGCAGCCCTCCGCATGTGCGCAGTGCCCCTAGCGCGGCGGGACGGGAGGCCGCGGAGTGCAGCCGGGCAGGAGCGCTTTGCCCAGGCGTCCCGTGAAGGGCCCGCGATTCGCAGGGCACCTTGGGCAAAGGGTGGATGTTTCCTCATTTTCTCTTTGCAAATAAAAACGTTACCTTCCAAACTGTGCTGTGGCTCGTCTTGGTAAATCTGTAGGTTTTTTTGTTGTTGTTGTATTGTGTTGTATTTTTTCCAAGCAAGGGTGCCAGTGCAACTCGCCCTGTAGTGCAAACGGACCCAGAGAGAGAGGAAGATAAAATGAATTTAAATTCCAAAGGGGTTTCAGTGCTGGTTTCCTAGTCCCCGAGTCAGCAATGTGTTTGTGAAAATTCAGCCTTTTTGTCTCTTAGAAAAAAAGGGCTAAATCTACATCGGTGGCCCAGTCTAGGTTTGCTATTCTTTGCATTTTCTATTCAAGTGAATGAGAGTGAATGAAGTGGCCTGGGACCCTTTATTTGATCTACTCAATTGCATAAAGTGACAGAATTCTAATATATTTGTTTAATGCTCTTCAATGGGGCTTTCACTTTCTCGCTTGCAAATGAAGCCTCGATCTGCAAAGTTTTGTCCTTTTTTTCTTTCTACCTTTTTTTTTTCCTGGCAGAGAGACCATATTTCATAATTTGGGCCACGGTTTGAAGTGATTTCGAGAGGAGTTTTAGACTCGAAAAGTGGGAAATAAAGAAACAGATGTGAAGTTATTGTAAATTCTTATAGTGGGCTCTGGGGCTATTGTAAACCCACTGCAGGCGGTCCAAAGCCTCTCTTTTTCATGCTGTAATTGAAACATATTAATTAGATAATTTGTTGTTAGTTTAAAAGAAACAAATACAGCCCCTCCAAGGCTTCACAGCCTCGGTTTCTTTTTGTTAATAAAAAGAAAAAAAAAGCAACCCACGAAGTGACATTTATATTAAGATTCCGAGATAATTTGGCACTGAAGTTGACGAAGCTGCTAAGTTTTTTTCTCTTTTTCCCAAGGACCACTTTTGAAGAAAGGCTGGCTCATAAAACTCCTTCTCAGGGGTCGCTGGGGAGTTCTTTTCTCCCTACCTGGCACAGACTGCCCTTCCCCGCAAGGCACGGTCCGAGAGAAAATAAATATTCTGGGTGAGAAAGAGCTGGCTTTCTTCAATAGAGGATTCAGTCTTGTGGGGTGGTGTCTTGTCACACGTCGAGAGGAAAGAAAAAAAAAAAAAAAAAAAAGAGAAAAAAAAAAAAGAAATATCCTGACGAGAAAGGATTCACACCCCATGCACTGACATGAAGCAAAAACCCGAGTCGCCAAGCACGACTGGGTCCGCGGGCTTACCTTGCACAGCCGGGCTCAAACTCATCCTCCGGAAGAAAAGAGCTTTTGCCTAGAATGAACGCTCTCTTTGCATCAAGTACGCCCAGCTTATAATGTCTCGCTGGCTGTCTAAACACGACGGAGAGCTCGGCCGCGGCTGATTCAGTTGCCCCCCCCTCTCCCCTTCCCTCCGCGCTGTTGTCTCTTGCTGTTCTATTTCAGATCTGTGTTTATTGACATTGGACTTGAGCCATTAGGGAGATTTAACAAGTCAAAGCAGTAGATTCAAGCGAGGCGCCGAGCTGCGTATTTGTTTGAAATAAGCATCGCCACATTTAGGGGCGCGGGCAGAGATGCGCGTAGGAGCGCGGAGCCGGCCCCGCGGGCTGCGCGCTGGCGGCCGCGGCGAGGGGGGTCCTCGGGCTTTGGCCAGTCCCGGGAAATCGCAGAGATAAAGAGGAAAAAGGAAATTTTAAAGTGCGAGTCTTACTATGGGATTATAAAGCAAGGAAGTTATTGCACCTTTTGCAAATATTTTGCTTTGCGGCATAATCTTTTCAGATTATTATCTCCGTTGATTACTATATAGTTAAAAAAAGACCCTGAAAGTGCAACTTCATCTTCTTAGCTGAGCTCGGATTTCATCTTTGAGGATTTGTTCTGACTGCTAGATCTTAAAAGAAAAAAAGAAAGGAAGGAGAAAAAGAGTCCTCGTCGCCTAAAAATGTAGGTCATCGCTTGTTTAGGAAAAGTTTGTCGAGTTATGTGTCCATTGATCTGGTGATAAGTTTTGAATGCTTTCTTTAGCTGATCGTGTTGATATAATCGTGGGTTGGACTTGATGAATGAGTTCAGTTGTCCCCCATCTGACAAGCTTTAGCAGCTTCATGCATTTTAATCAGCCCAATGATTCATGTATTTTCCACCTTTTTTCTGTGTGTGGGATCCGTTCTCTTTAAAAAAATGGTCGCAACTGGATTAATTACCCTATACATTAATCTTAAAACTTTTGCAAGGACCTTGCGGTGTGTAGTAAGGAAATGGGGATGTCACTTGCGCTGTTTATGGTCCAGAAATTCTGAGAGATCAGGCAGAGACAAAACCTCTATAAAATCATTGCCGTAGAATTAGTGAATCCTATCAGTTCGTTAGAATACAATGTCGTTTTCTTGCTAATAAGCCTTTAAGTATTCGGTTGTCTCGTAACTGCGCTCTTGGCGCAGACTGCCTCATCTCCGAGACACTTATGTACTAATTTCACTAGATTGCTTCTACCATTTTCAGGAGTTGCTGAATCCTTTCAAAATCCCTAAAAGAATTGGAGGCCCCCACTGGAAGGTGCCCGGAATCCAATTTTCATTGTAACTACCTTGCCCTTACTTTTTAAAAGGGACTATCTATTGGCTTACAGAAGAACGGGTACAATTTTAAGTGTTACAGCTTGCAACCTACCGGGTTTGGAAAGTGTGATCAATAGAGATGGAGAAATTATAGCAGTGGTTGGAGCAACTGCAATGCTTGAGGAGGTTTAAACGACAGGTGAAAGGCTACAATAGCTCACTTTTACTTGAAAAAGATTTTGAGATGCCACTTGTAAGAAAAACCACAACTGACAAAAATTCCCTATTCTCAGTCTTAAAAAGTAACTAATTCTTTAAAGATTTTTATGTTAGCTCCGTATTCTAGAAGCTCACTAATTTTTTATACTTTTTAGAGAAAATTTAACTAGGAGTATGTGGAAGATAAATATACATACGCACAGGTGTAAATGTAGTACGTGTTTATATTCGGTATAACTGTAGAGGACACAAACGCGTAGATGTGTGTGTATGCATATATGTATGTGTGTAGATACATAGATATAAAAACCACAGAACACACTTATGTATGTTACCTCTTTGGTACACCGGCAATAATGAGAATTTTATCTAACATATTATGGTATGTTAATAACTATATTTATAGTAACCTCCCGTGAAAAGGCTGCTTAGATTATCTAAATATTGGAATAACGTCATTCCTTTTTCATGAACTAATGTTTTACTTTTCTCGTGTAAACTGTTTAAAAAGACAAATAAGAAACTAAATCTGCATTTACATATTTTAATGAGAAAATATTATTTGGACGACTTGGTTCATAATTTAACGTTGACACTTTTTCAACCTTTGTCTTAAAACACACATGCTGGGAACAAGAACACCAATATTTAAGATGCCATGCTTATTCTGTACACGAAAAAAAAACGTTAAAAAGAAATGTCTTTACAATTTCAATAGACACTAATGCCGTTTGTGGGTTGGTGGTTTTTTTTCCTTTTTTTTTTCTTAACTTAAGCAGTTCACAACAGAACAACAGTTCAGTTTCCAGCAAACTACCTAAAACTAGAAAGGAGTATATCAAACAAAAGTGCATTTTACACATTTTATAATCATTCCTATGCACAGACATTTACAGTTTCCCTAGCCCCCTCTCTCGTCTGCAAAGCTCCAGCAGAAATCGGGATGACCTCCACAGTTTGTACCTGCTGTTGTGTTACTTCTCCACGTTTTACCAGTGACTTCAGCAGCTTTTCTTAAGCTATGCCGGGTTGTGAGCTTGGTAACAGGTTTATTTTTATTGTTATTATTGTTTGTTTTTAAGCTATGAATAAATAGCTACAAAATTTAAAAAAAAAAAAAGAAAGGGAAAAAAAAAAAACCAAAACCAAGAAACCCTGAGCTCCCCAAACCTTCAGGTTAATCAGAAGTTAACAGACCAGTCAACTTCTCCTCTTCCAGCTGAAAACTACAGTACACATCCGCGTTACAACAGGTACTGCAAAGGGGACCTCATGTGATTTACAGTAGCGATGCCAGCTCAGTATTTACATTAAAACAGGCGCTTTGTAAACAATATAGGTATGGAGTGAGTGAACGGGTGCCTTCCGTCGTACGGCGTCCTGCTCCCGCGGCGCGGCCCACGCTCGCCCCGCGCCCCCGC